ACCTCCTCTCTCTCTCTCTCTCTATTGATGCAGTAGGAAAAGAACAGCACCAAGCAGTAGGCAACAAGAAGACCTCACATGCAGTGTCTATAACGTTCCTCTTGCAGACTATGAACGAGAGAGAAAGGGAAAAGACGACTCGGTCGTCGCCAAGTTTCACCAAACGCATTTGGATCCCTCCCACCGTCTCTGTAACCCAAAATACCAACAGGGGTTTACTGGCTGCCTACAACAGCGCAATGACACATAGTATGGTTGCAGGATAAACTCGGGCTATGGTCCCTGATCACATATTTTACCTGGATATGGCTTCTTCTTAGCTCTCCATTTATCTCTCTTCCACAGATGTTGGTTGGATACAGAATTTGGTCCGAAACCCATTCGGTAAAAGGATAAGTATCATGGTTGAACGGATGATCAATGTTTCTTGCTAAGAAGCTGCCATGAAGAAGAATCCATCTAACATTTTCATGAGAAGAACAGACCAAAAGAAGAAACCTGATCTCTCCATAGCTGTGTAACATGATAAGATCTCGGAAGACTGTTCCCAAAGAACCAAAATTTCAAGCAACGAAATTTACACACATGAAGCAGAAATGGGGAATCTAAGTGATGATAATCTAGCTAGCTCTTGCAGATGTAGACCAGCAGCGAGAACCCGTCCGGCTTCTGCAGCTCCACCTCCTCCTGGCTCGCCCACTCCATCACCGTCGAGTTGCTAGCCGAAGAGGCAGATGAGGTGGATGAAGACATAGAGCTCGTCTTCAAGAGGCTCTTCCTCCTCCTCCTCCGTGTCATCCTCTCGGCTACGCTACCTCCGTTGCTGCTGCTGCTCTCGCTCCAATTCCTGGTCTTCCCGGAGTTGCCTCCATGCAGTGTCCCTTTGTACACGCTGTCCCCGAAATGCCCCTCCTGCCTGCCACCAAACGCAGTCCCGAAGTGCCCCTCCGCCGGCTTTGGGTCCTCCGCGAAGCGGAAAACGAACACAGCGCGCTCGCTCTCTGCCGTCGCAGGGGCTGCGCCGCCACTGGACGCAGCGTTGTCCTTGGGATGGAAGAGCCAGTCGTGGAGGTCCCACGAGACCTGCATCCGGGCGCCGCACTCGGTCTCCACCTTCTCGCTCCCCCGGAACTTCCACCGAAGGCGCCGCACGTGGAGGACACTCTCGCCGTCAACGGCCACCGCCATGCCCGCCTCACGCTCCCTCCCCTTCGCCCCCAAGTCAATCGAGATCTCCCGAGCCCTACCTCCGAACCTCACCATCGTTCGGTACGACCTCCGGCCACAGGAGTCCCCCAGCACGACGCGCTCCCGCCTCGCAGCCGGGGCGGGGTTCCGAAAAGGATATTTCGGCCGCTGCGCCCGGATCTTCTGGTACGCCTCCTCGGCAAGGTCACCTGAGACCAAGAGCATCTCGCCGTCGACTGCCACCGCGAAGAAGAATCCGTCCACGGGCTCAGGCCAGCCGCCGGCACCGCTAGGCCGGAAGCTCGCCCGTGAGAGGTCCCAAGCGAACTCGACAAACCGGTGGGGCGGGTGGTCCCGAAGGCGAAACCGCCGCGACCCCCGTCGCTTCCAGAGGAGCCACGGCCGGACGCGGAACCGGAGTGGCTCCTCATCCTCGTCGGAGAGGTAGAGGTCGGCGCAGAGGGTGACGCCGAGGACGCCGCGGGACCAGGTGAGGGCGGCGAGGCCGAGGCGGGTCTCGTAGATCGAGGTCGTCAGGCTGGGTCCGGCCGCCGTCGACGACGGCGACTCACCCCCGCCGAAGCATGACAGAATCCTGTCCGGCATCCTCCTCCTTCCAAGCCTCTTCGTCTCCTAAACCTGCGGTGCAGAGGGCGGTTTGTGTGTGTGTATATATATAAACATCCAAGCGGTAGTCCAAGTGACTTTTAGAATTACGTGACAATAATAATGGTCATTACTTAATGAAAATATCGAGAGGTAGAATTACGTGACAATAATAATGTCAATTTAATGAGCAATTAGATGATACTTAGGAAGAGAAAAGTGGGGTTGTAGGTGGGTGGAAACATGAGGGTGTGTTTCAAAGATGCGGGAGAGGGTGTGCGTGGTCAAAGCAGTTGTTTGACTTTTTTCCTATTGATTGACATCGTGATGTGGAACGAGTCATGCATGCTGTGCATTGAAATGGTTGATGGTAGATGGATGGGACTTTTTCCTAGTAATAATTACAGATGCAGGCCATAATGTACATCCATATAGTGTATGATATACGAATCAATCATGCATCTTTCCATGGTCAAGAGATAGTGCCTCATTGGCCCATTTGGGTGCTTAAGACACGCTGTTGCACAGTTTTTGCCACTTAGTGGGTCCTCCATGTCCTTGATGTGGAGTTAGATTTGGTGCATACGTTATAATATTAGTCACCTACGGATATTATTTGTGCACCGCACCTCAGTTAGTCCATCAAACTCGAGTCATGACAAAATATACGACTGATTAGTAGTTTCATTTTTTAGATTTTGAGAATCTAAATCGAATCATCTGTTTTTTCAAAAATGAAAAATATTTTTTTTTAATCATGAACAATCATTCTTAACAGCCACCATTTTATTTGACATCGTTTGGGATCTTTCAAATCATCAGTGATCTGTTCGTGATAAGTGTTCTAATGATCAAATTATTATATTGGAGAAGATCGTATTCGTCCTTGAGCTCAGGTGTGGATGCGAGTATCCAAGGCCTGACGAGGTTCCTGGTAGCTTGAAGAGGAGTGAGAACAACAGCACCTGACCTAGAGGAAGCATGCCATGTGGAAAGATTGCATGAGAGTCCCACACCCACACAATGCTCCAAAATTGGCACAGCCTCGTTCATCTCCCAAAAAGCTTGCTGATGTTCTTCCCTTATCATCTCTCATCTGGCTGCTACACTCCAACAATTTGGTCCAACCATTTCCTTTCCTGATGCATGTGTCATGTCCTTGTGGGAGAAACTGCTGCTGCTGCTGCTACTTTTCTAGGTTTGTTGTGACTAAATCATTGCAGCTTGCTCTGAACAGATTCCCAAGCCTTGAATGTTGTAGTGCAAAATTTATGACATGAGTTCGTCTCTGTCTAGATGTAAAGATCTGTTCCTTTCTTTTCTCTGGGTTTTCTAACTCCATTGTCTCAAGAAAAAAAAAAGGAACATGCAGTTTAAGGTTTAAGAAAAAGAAAGAGAAAGCAGACATCAACATTGGAGTTTGTCCAACCAGAGAGATGCTAAAGCAAAACACCATTAAAACTTCAGCATAATAATCTCAATCTCTCAATTAGGATAAAAGATGAGTGTAATCATTTTCAAGTAGTTAGAAATTGTTTGCTGAGCAGTATGATTGTCAACCTCTCTTCTGTGGTTCCCAACAAATTGTAGAGCTGCTTGAATGGAGCAATCAAAGAAATCCTGATAGAACAATTGGTCCTCAGTCCTTGTTTTTGTGTTGATGTCTATACCTTTTGAAGCAGTAATCAAAGCCAATTTTGATGCATTTCCCATAAAGAATTAAGAACCTCCCAAAAGTTGTAGTTCACACCTTCAAACTCCATACTTTTTCTACAGATTAGGGCCTGCAGAAAAAGGGTGTCTATTCTGCTTGCCAATGACTTTGAGCACCACATTTCATCCAAAACCATTAATTAATTTGCACTAGTGAGGTACAGAACAACATAAAGATGATAGTCTATGGGTCTAAAACCATGGAATTCCACCTGCTTGCTGTTGAGCCCCCTACAGTAGTGGATGAGCTATCAACCATGGAATTCTCTATCCTTTTCCTAGTTTGTCTAGCCAAGTGCCAGCATATAGTAAGCCATCTACACTTAGATTCTGAAACATCCTCCTCCTTTTCAGCTTCATTGTTTTCCTTGATGTACCAATGTCACATTACTAAGAGTTCTATTTCCATAGAAGAGTGAGCTTTCCTGATCGTGTGGTTGAACTCAAATCATTGGACTTTGTTTCTAAATGCCAATGACTAATTTGAAGATCCAAATCAAGTGAAGATGTATTCTAGCTTATATACTCTTCTCTTCCTTTGGAGGACACAAATAATGAGTCAATTCTTCACATTAACATGCTCATTGAAGACCACAAAAGAAGGAATACTTTGACTAGAATCACATAATTAAACTGTGAATCCATGCCTTCATCTTACCACCAACTGTGGATTCTCCATATCTTCCTATTTATATGATATTTCCTCCTTACCTCGAAGAAGTTCATGCCTACTGTCATGATAATAAATCTTCACCATACTCATCCACAAAACCTCCTATAACATCATCCTCACTTTCATTTCCTGTCCATGCATCTCTACCTTCATTCATTCCTCTTATTTGCCCTGCATCCTTTCTTCTTCTCCATGTTCTTCCTTTCACTTTTCTTTAACCTTCATCTCACCATGTCCAATGTTGTCATTGCCTTCATGTCTTTTTAAAGGTCAAAGACCAATGGGCCAATGCAGGTACAGAGAAGGAAATGGCAAGAAATATAAATCTGGCATTCCATAAGCTGAAAGAAGGCAGTGCAATTTAAAGTTCTCTCCTTTTATCTGAGGAAATCTGAGGCTTAGCCTCATCTCATTTAGAAACATTTGGAATGAAAAGTTTAGAAACTTCTGTGCTTGCTGTCCAAAAGAGAAGAAAAAGAACTGCAAAAGTTCTTTTATGGCACCAAAGTCATGTGAACATTCTGAGAATGTCTCTGCACTTGCAAATGATTCAACCTAAGGAATTAGTAGGTGCAATTAAATTATTTTGAGGACTGATTCATGTTTTGCCAAGAATGTGGTTGAGTTTGTGAAAACCGAAAAATCTCCACCAATACACTCATGAGATCATAGGTCACTTATTGGCTATGATCCTTAATATTCCAGCTAACATTTATCCTGAAGCTTCATTTGGAAAAGGCAATGTTGCAGAAGGAGAAGCAATGCACTGACATGGCATGAACTGCAATGATCATGAGTGAGCAGAAAAGAGATGTTGCAGAAGAGTGTAAACGAGGTAACAAGTGGAGAAATGGCATGGCATGAACTGCAGTGATCATGGATGAGCAGAAAAGAGAAGAATGTTTCATCATCCTCAAAAGACAATGCATTACATCTGATTTTGCAATCAAGTCAGCCTAAAAACCTAATGAGATGAGGAACTTATCCAAGAACAACAATTTCCAGCTTCACTAGGAATGTGAGTGAACCAATCTGCAATGCCTTCTCTCTCCTACTTTTCTTTGGACTTCATTGATCACTTCATTCATGTTAAACGCCAACACAAAATCTGCAATGCCTTCTCTCTACTACTCCTTTCCTTTGGACTTCATTGATCACTTCATTCATGTTAAACACCAATACAGTCTTTCTACAGCATGCCAAGATCCAGCCACAAGGTTTTAATGGTAGAACCTTGACATCCAATGCTGTGTCCACAAAATGCTGCTGGAGTTGGAATGGCATGTGCAGGCACATGCACTGTTGCATTCAGAGATCCAATACCATCACACCAACCTTTTCTAATCATTTAAACCCAGCATCATTTTCTTATCTTAGTATGTTCTATTGACAAACAAGAAGTACTGAACTTGGATGATGCAATGGTAAATGCACATGTAGCACCAACCTAATACTTGGAAACATCTTCTATCAATATGCATTCTTCTGTGCCAATGATCTTGACTTCAGTGCCAAAACAGGTGTTATTAGGGGATGGTGGAACATAACCAGCTTTCAAACATGTTGTGGGCAACCATGAATGGAACCTATACCAGCTCAAGCTTCAAGAGAAGCTCCAGGAGACACAGGACAAGGATGATGTAAGTGTACTGCACATGTGCATGTTGGAAGAGGTGTTGCAGTAGCAAGTAGCAGAGCTGACTACAGAGCAGCGCAGCAGAGCTCCATGGAGAGGTTGGAGTCGAGCAGCTCCTCGATCATCTCTTCCACGTGATGCTCCTCTAAGCAACTGAATTCCACCCCGCCATGGCCGTTCTCTTCCGCGACCCGACTGGTCTCTTCCTTGTGCTCTGCCGCCACCGGAGGCCTTCGCGGCGCATGCATGACGACTGGCTGCGCGGCCTGAAGGGAGAGTAAGTTGCAGCGGTGCAGCTTCGCGGTGAGAGCCGCCGACAGGTACTTGCAGTGTGACGACGGGGGGCGATGGGGACTGCAAGGGAAGTTGGTTTTCGCCCGCGCTCCGCACATTAGAACTGCCGCCTCGTCGTAGGCTCTCGCGGCGTCCTCCGCGGTCTCGAACGTGCCCAGCCATATCCGCATCTTCCTAGAAGAAGATGACAGAGAATTGTGGAAGAGATGTGGAGGAACTCATCAGCACAGGGAGTGAGAGTGCAGTGCGTGCTTACAGGAGAGGGTGGCGGATCTCGGAGACCCAGGAACCCCAGTGCCGCTGTCGAACACCTCGGTACCGCTTCTGGGAGCTGGCCATGAGAGAGAGTCTGCTGCGTTCTCTACTGCGCAATGGAAGGGAAGATTTGAAGGCAGTGTGAGCTGAGACTGAGATGGATTTGAAGGGGGTGGGGCCCTCTGCATCCTTCTTTGGTGATGTGGCCCACAAGGTTTGGTCACCATGAACATGCATCTCAATCTGATTCCCTTCTTTTATGCTCACACAATTCACCTATGAGAATGAAGACAGTAATCATCTTCTTTCATAAAGGCTGTCAAAAACTCAGTTTGCCACTACTAACATGAAATTTTACTCACGTTTATGGCAAGTTAATTCTTACATGATTTCTCAGTTCATAGTTAACAGCTTCATTTGATACAAATCTCAGTCATTAAGATAGATAAATAGGGTACAGACCATCTGCAGTAAAGCCTCTTCAGGTTGATCTTAACAGTTCTATAACACAAGAATCTGAAGCTCATAGGACTATTGGGGATATGTAGAGAAAGATGAGAATTTAGACCGCAACAAATATGAAAAATGTAAAGAGAATTTTCCCTCAGAAAAGAAAAAGAATTAGGTAAAGAGAATGAACTATTATATGGGTCTTAGAAGTCTTTATAGTAAGCTACTAATGTGCAGAGCAAGAACAATGTGAGGCATCAACACCAACTGCAGTGAAGTGGTGTGTCTGTAGAAGGAAACCTCTTCTTCTGCCTGGGATTGTGAAAGGCTTCATCTGGCTCATGGTGTGGAATCTTCACAACTTATGATCATTCCAATTTGGAGCTTTGTGGAGTGAGAAGAGTGCATGCCCATGTCATGCTGCCATGAGAGAAGGAGACCTGAGCACATGCCTCATAGACTGGAAGAAGGTGTTGATGGTGGCATTGATGGTTTCATTGAAAGGAATGGCTGCATGGAACTGTTGGCCCAGGTGAGAAGAGACTCCCTCTCTCTCTCTCTCTCTCTCTCTCTCTCTCTCTCTCTCTCTCTCTCTCTCTCTCTCTCTCTCTAAACAACTCCAAATGTGAAGGACTTCTAATTCTGCTGCTAGTTTTGGCACATCCTCCACACATTGTTCAATGGGTGTGACAAAAGTCAATGGCAATTGCTTCAATGTACATTGATTTCTCCTCCATACTTCACATGGGGATGAGTTTGTAGCACCCCCACCAGGTGTTGGTCCTCATGTACACTGACAACCATTTAGAGGACTGCTGCTGCTCTCTGCAAGTTTGGTGAAGAGCAGCAACCTCATGACATGTCCCTGCTTCATTCTGTGTATGGATACAGTGTGCCCATGTTTTACCCATCCTGGATTGCTATGGTTTTTATTCTTTAGATTTTTGTTTTCTTTTGAGAGTTCTTTCTTTAAAGTTCATTATCTAACAAAAACTCAAAGTTTAACAAAAAAATAATAATAATATCAAATATTTTATTTCTATATTTGATCAATATTAGGATTTTTTTTTTCTTCATAACTTGGAAGCTCAGAATTGGAGTATCATAAATAATATCTCTCAAAATGAAAAAAATATTAGGTATCTTAATACTTCCCAAATCTTCGATCGACAAAGTCATTAGAATCAAATAAATCTAAGGTTTGTAATATTGTTGGAAACGATTTATATATGAGTCGTATTTATTAATTTGACAATATATCGATAAACCTGTACCACATTATGATAATTTAAATTTTAGTTTTGTTTCTGTTTATTCAGTCATTTTTCAGGATTTAAATTATATCTTAAAATGGCTTGATTGCTTCTCTCTGGATATATGTTTCTGTGGTCAACATATGAAGAAACCTATCAGCTCATATCAACTATAAGTCTGCAGAACTTTGGAGTCTTTTGGAGCATTAATTACATATATATATATATATACATATATACATATATATATATATATATATACATATATATATATATATGTGTGTGTATACATATGTATATATATGTATATATATATATGTATTATATATATATAATATATATATATATATAT